GTGTGGTTTGTGTGTGCATATGTGTGTGTAGTGGTATGTGTGTGATGTGTCTATGCGAGTATGCGTCTGCATGGTGTGTGTGTGTGTATAGGGAGATATGTTTTGGGGGCAGGAGCGTTGGAGGTATGGTGTGTGTGATGCGTGTGTATGTACAATATGTGTGGTGTTTGTGTGTACGTGATGGGTATGTTTGTGGCATGTGAGTTTCAGCGTATGTATTTGCGTGTGCGTGTGTCGAGTTGCTGCATGGTGTGTGTGATGTGTGTATATGTGTGTGTCATATGTGTCTAGTTGTATGGTGTGTGTGATGTGTGTCTATGCGTGTGTCATATGTGTCTAGTTGCTGTATGGGGTGTGTGACGTATGCTGTGTGTGGGTGCGTGTGTGGCTGGGTGCGGGCCGCCCGTCGGTAGTGGACGCGCCCAGCACCGGGGTGGTCTGTGTCGGCCGGCCCCGGCTGCCCTCTGCCCAGGCATCAATCGGCATGAAGCTGACAGGCCCAGGGAAGTTAGGGCAGACCTGCTGCCTGGACGAGGCCTTTTCCTCCGCTGGGTGTGAATCCATTTCTCCGTGTCTGGCAGCAGCATTTGTGGGGAGCCCTAAGGGTCTGCTGGAGCGAGGTGCCACGACCCGGTTGGGGTGATGCCAGGTGGCCAGGAGGACACGGGCACATTGTGACAGGGAGGCAGCCTGGGGGTGGGGCTGCCTTCACCCTGGCCCTCGTTACACAGCCCTGCTGGCTGTGGGCCCCAGACCTCCTCTCTGCGGTCAAGGCGGCCTTGGGGCGGTTTCCTTGCTGGCGGTTGGCCAGGGGTCATTCTCAGCTTCTAGAGGCCCCCGGCATTCCCGGGCTCCTGCCCCTTCCTCTACCTTCAAAGCCAGCCACGGAGAGTGGAGTCCTCCTCACCTTGACCCTCTCCACTGTCTACCCTTCTGCCTCAGCTCTCCTGCCTTCCTCGTCTGCTCTTTAGGGCTCCTGTGATCATGGGGCCCACCTGGACAATTCAGGCTGCTCTCCCTCTCATAGTCAAGGTCAGATGCTCAGTAGCCTTATTACCACTTGTAGGACCTAGATGAGTGTTTGATTAAACACCAGTGGGTGGGGTGTTGGCCAGACATCTCCAGAATTCTGCCCACGAGACTTATGTCTAGGTTCTAGGAAATTATATAGGTGTGTGTGTGCGTGTGTGTGTGTGTGTGTGTGTATTTTTTAAGGAAGAGCATTTATTGCTCTTTTGGTTCCTGGAGTAAAGCATGCTCAGTGCAGCCAGCTCAGAAACAAGAAAGAACAAACGAGAATCAATCAGCGTCGTCCCCAGAGGCCACACTGTTCATACTTCGTGTGTCCTTCCCTGAGCATTCCAAGGACGTGAGGGTGTCTGCTGAAGTGGTCACTCCCGGAGGCCACAGTCAGGGGGTGCCTGGGCAATGTGCTAGCCGAGGGCTGGACTTGGGGCCACCAGGAACAGGCTGGCCTGGCGGGGCCTGGTGGGAGCAGGACATGGGGCCCCCGTGTGGTTCCTTCAAAGCCGTTCACCTCTGGTCCCATCTTGAAGAGATTGGCACGCTGGGTGGGGGTGGGGGTGGCGGGCTGGCCAAGAGCAGGGTTGGCAGGCGTTCCCTGTCCAGGGCCAGATGGCAAACATTTTAGCCTCTGTGGGCCACATACCTCTCGAGGCAAACTTATGTGTCTTGTTTAGTTAGGTTGTGTAAATCCATTCTTGCCTGGAGGGCCTTTCAAAACCAGGCAGAGAGGCCTGTCTGGCCCATGGGCAGTAGTTGGCTGATGAACTAGATTAAGGGAGACTCGGCTAAATAGGGCATAAGCCTTGATCCAATCCTGGAGTCCCCCACCCCACCCCGCCTAAAAAGGAAGCTGTGAAGGACAGCATTGGGCCAGCGGGGGAGACTTGAATACAGGCTGTGCGTCAGAGCATACTATACATCCATGTTGTCTCCTCAAGGTGACGATTGTTTTGTAAGAGAACGTTCTCACTTTGAGGACGCGCCCAGGTATTCGGGGGAGAAGGTTATGATGAGGACAGCAAGCTCTCAGATGGTTCGGCAAAAGAAGAATGAAGGGGTGTGTGTGTGAGTGTGTGAGAGAGAGGGGAAGTGTAGAGGTGTGTGCCCAGGGCGTGTGGGCACTTGTGGTACTATCCTTGTAGTATTTCTGTAGGTTTTCAATGTTTTTCAAATTAAGAGTTGGAAAGAAAAAAGCGATGAGTGATTAGAAGGCGTTCTGGATGGGCCAGGGCCTCTTGGTATGAGAAAACCAGGAAGCATCTTCCAGAAGGTTCTGGAAAGCCCTGTTGGCCAGTGGGGCGCCCAGGGAGGGGCAGTTTGCCGGCAGGGAGGTGTGTGCCATCTCTGGCGTTGCTTACAACTGCCTCGTTGGTTTCGTCATTGATTTTTCATTCTCCCCCCATTTGCCTGTTCGGGCAGACACTCCCCTTCCCAGCCCCCCTACCCCTGGACACCCCTAGCTGGAGCACACATGCTTATGGGCTTGGGCTCTCACCGGGGCCAGCTGGGCTCCAGACCAGCACTGAGGGTGCTGGGGGCGGGGTAGCGGTGGGTGTCCTCCCCGAGAGGGCAGAGAGGGTGAGGACCCCCGGCCATGTCTCCAGGTCTGACATGACCGCTCTGCCTCCCCTTCCAGCTCAGACCCTCTCTGGTGTGGAGCAGGCTAGAGAAAGCGACGCCCGTCCTGTGGGCTCAGACGTGGCTGCCGCATGGGACGGCGTGGAAGAGGTGAGGCCCCCTCCACGCGATCCAGACCCACAGGGCCGAGGCCAGGAACCATCAAGGTCCGAGTGCCCGATCTTCCTGGTCTGCTCGCCGGTGACCCCCAGAGGAAGCTCCCAGGGCGCAGTTGTCCTTCCTACCTTTTGTGCCCCACCCCCTACGTGCCCAGCTCACAGTGGGTACGCACCAGCCTCACGTGCCCAGCTCACAGTGGGTACGCACCAGCCTCACATGCCCAGCTCACAGTGGGCACGCACCAGCCTCCCTGCGTCCACAGCAGGGGAGGCTCCCAGCCAGCAATGGCGAGTGTCTGGCGCCAGTGAGGCAGAGCCTGTCAGTGTGCACGTTCTGGACAGTTCAGCCCGCCCCATCCCGCAGAACAGCAGCACCAGCACGCAGGAGAGCTGTGCTCAGCTCGTCCCAGCTGTGCCCGGTTTCCTCTCTCTTTCCTAGGGGGGCCTGAGGCCCAGCTCTACAGGCCTGAAGGGGCAGAAAGGGGAGCCGGGCGCCCAGGGTCTGCCTGGCCCGGTTGGTCCCCAGGGTCCCCCAGGCCCAGCCGTCCAGAGCCCTGATGGCACTGCCGCACAGCCTGTCCCTGGGCTGCAGGGACCCCCTGGACCCCCTGGGCCGCCAGGGAGGGATGGCGCCCCAGGAAGGGACGGTGAGCCAGTGAGTATGCATCTCCCGTCGGTCAGACCAGGCCCTGCTCAGGGGTGGTGGGCTCAGACAGGAGGCAGGAGACGGTGTGGGGGGTCCACCAAGACCAGAGAACAGTGTCCTGGGGCCCCTGGAGATCCCTCCAGGAGTGCTGAGTCCTTTGCTTGTGCAAGAGCGGGAAGGCGTTCAGAGACGCCCCGAGGTTGGGAGCGGCTCACGTGCGTGTGGAGAGGTGGCGGATCGGCATCTGCGGTGTCTGGCCGTTAATATTGCACTGAGGGTTTTAGGGACAGAAGTGGTAAAGTTAGAATTAAAGGGCTTCATCACTGTTACGTAGATAATTGTTTTCCCGGGGAGAATTCAGGTTTGCAGGTGAGCTTGGAACGTAGAAATGGGTTTCCATGTCTGACTGCAGGTGGGAGGGAACAGGAGGGGGTGGTTTTCCATCACTCACAGTCTCTTTTGCCCCTTCCAGGGAGATCCCGGCAAAGATGGAAGGGAGGTAGGCTGGCTTCTCTCCCCCCCGACTTCAGAGCCAGATGTTACCAGTTACATTAGCATGAGACCCTTTGGCTTTGCTTTACCCCGTGGCTCTGTCTTTAAACTCAGTATGGTGATGAGTTTTCAAGATGAAGCCATCTTGAAAATGCAATGTACATTTTATTAAGAAAGTATAAATCTAAGCATTGACAAAAAGATAAATTTCAGCATGTGTATTGAAGCGCGTAAGCGAACAACGAGGCAAATAGAAAAGAAATAGAAGGTAAAGCTTCCAAATTCTTCGAGATGAAAGATACACAGTCATGAAATAACCTGAAAGTGTTTTGGGGGAGGAGGGTGCAATACAGGAAAAAGGAAGACAAGGTGGCGGGAGTGAGTGCAAATTTAGCAGCAGCTACAATCAATGTAAGCGTTTCTATCTTTACGCACTGTGTTTGGGTTTTTAAAGATCAACAAATACTGTTTCCGAGAAACACACGTAAATAAAAGGGCACAATAACGTTGCAGATTAAGGTTTGGGAAACAATATAGCAGGCACATGGTAACATAAAACAAGCAGAAAGTGGGTATTGTAATATTAATCTTAGACATGATAGATTCAAAATAAAAACATTTAAAAAGGACAGGAAGGGATATTTCACACTGGCAATGGAGTGGTCGTTATTAAACCGTTTTGCACTGACAGCAAAGACTGGGATGGAATATGGGAGGAAAGGATCTAATCCACCGTCCTCGTGGGAGGCTTCAGTAGACCTTGCTCCTAAGCCCACAGAACAAGGGTGTGTGTGTGTGGTACGGCATCCAAGTGACTCAATTGGCAAGCTTGCTCTAATAGACTTTGTTAGAATTTCGTGTCCAAGAAACAAGCCACGCACAATCTTTTCCAAGCACACATGGAAGTTCCAACATATGGACCATTTAGGCCACCAAGCTACACGTACCCAAAGTAGCAAACACACAGGCACATTCTCTGTCCACAGTGCCCCCCGCTACATACACAGGTGCCCACAGGAACATGCGTGCATATGCGCATGCACACATAGGCACACCAACGTAGGCGCACCCACACATGCCTGCAACGTGCATGCACATACGTGTGGGTATATACGCATGCACAGTGCAAACTCACACATGTGCACGCACACATGTACACACACGTAAGCACACGTACACGTACATAATAGACAGAGGGCTCGTTATTTAGCCAAGATGTCAATGGAGATGCCACGTACATTTGTGGCGTGGACCCCCAGGCACTGTTTTGAAGTCAGGGACTCCCAAGGTGGGCATGTCCATCTGGAGGGCTGACCCTCGTGGTGAGTGGCCATGTGGCTCCTCTCTGGATTCAGCGCCTCCCTCTGGGCCAGGCCACATGCGAATAGGGGGGTTTGGATCATAGAGCAGGAGGGGCGCTGAGGACACAGCTGCCGTGACATTATCACCATTTAGATGCCGACAGAACAGAGGTTCCTCCCCTGACTGTGCAGCCTGTCTCTGTCTTCCAGGGCGACACCGGCCCTCAGGGCTTCCCGGGAACCCCAGGAGAGATGGGCCCCAAGGGTGAGAAGGTAAGCATCGGCCTGGCCTGGGCGGTGGCCCCTTTACCCTGTGTGCCCTCTGACTGCGTGGCGGCCGTGTGCCCTTGGTGCAATGGGCTTGTTATGTGTTCCAGGGGGACCCTGGGGTTGGGCCACGTGGACCCCCTGGGCCCCAGGGGCCTCCAGGACCTCCAGGACCATCTTTCAGACACGACAAGTTGGTGAGTCCCACGTCTGGGCCCCCTGCCCCGGGGCTCACCCCTGTCCAGGGAGGGTGACCCGGCCTGTCATGTTCTTGCATCCAGGGACGAGGTGTCGCAGAGATGCTCTTGGGTCCCAGGGTGTCCAAGCCTCCAGAGTCCTGGCAGGCTATCAGCTGGCTCTGGGCCTCAGACGTGCTGGGAGCCTGCAGGGGTCCTGGCCCCCTGGGATCTGCCTATACCCCCTTAGGCTCTCCTCGTCCTGGAGTGGGGCCTTCTCTTTGCTTCTCATGTAACATCTCAGAACGCTGGAAGCATGCTGGGGTGTCCGGGGCCTGGGGCGGGGGCGGGCCTGCACCCGCTGTGCTCCTGCTGACACGCCTCTTGGGGCCCTTCCCCTCAGACCTTCATCGACATGGAGGGGTCTGGGTTTGGCGGCGACCTGGAGACCGTTAGGGTGAGTGTCCCTCGGCCAGGGAGTTGTATGTGGGAAGGGCTGTCTACCCACATAAGATCTCAGCAGGGTCCCTTCAGGGGCAGCGACAAGGTGGATGGGAGGTGGGGTATCACTCGAGGGTGCTGTGTTGTGACCACTCTGTCCGTGTCCAGGGCCCACGAGGCTTCCCCGGCCCCCCTGGCCCCCCCGGTGTCCCAGGCCTGCCCGGTGAGCCAGGCCGCTTTGGGGTGAACAGCTCGGACGTTCCAGGGCCTGCAGGCCTCCCCGGTGTACCTGGGCAAAAGGGGCTCCCTGGGCATCCCGGCCCTCCAGTAAGTGCTGCTCCCCTCCCCCTTATCCAGCTAATCCCCCCACTCTCCATCTCTGAACTCCCCGCACCGGGCACCTGCCCGCATCCTCAAAGGGAGGTGGCTCCACCCTGCGTGCTCCGGGGGAGGGAGGAGCGTGAGCATGGTTCTGGGATTGCTGACCCGCTGGGGGACCACAGGTGGGTGGTGGACCTCACAGCGTCTCCCTGCTGGCCAGGGTGATTCTCATGGTGGGGGGGGGTCGTAAAAGATGGCGAGCTTGGGTCCATACCAGGACCCCCACCTGGAAGGTTGGGGGATGGTAAGAAGCCGCGTTTTGCCGACTCACCGTCCCAGGGAACCTTGGAGACCCGCCCACACTGCCCGGCCCCTTGGGGCACACAGGGGCCCGGGGGGCACCACCACACTGCTTCCTGCAATCAGGTGGCTCACCACCAGCTGTGAGCGCCTGGCCTCTCAGTGGTCTGCTTCGGACCTATGACTCCAGCGCACGTGGGCCCCCAGCCCTGTCCCCAGCCCTGTGGACAGCACCCCGGTGTCAGGCTCAGCACACACAGAACCACCACCTCACAGACCCGGCTGGGGTCTCCTGGCGAGGACCCCCCGCGGATAAGCCCCTAAGAGCGAGTTTTTACCTTAGAGAACGTGCTTGGTTTCTGTGTTCCCATGTTGCCAGGCCGCCCTGTAGAGGGTGTGCGGCGTCTGCACCCAGCAGCCGGGTGTGGGCGGCCGCCGCACTGGCATCAGGCTGCCAGCCCGTCTTATCTCCCCCAGTTCGATCAACAACTCAGAAAGCAGCGAAAAGTAGAGACAGCTGAACACAGGCGGTCTGCACTGCCCTTGAATGAAGCTGCTCTTGACATTGGGCAGGGTCTCCTGGGAGCCCTCTAACTTGGCCCACGTCTGCAAGGGCATGGAACAGCCCGCGTGTCCTCACTTCTCTGAGGACATCTGTGGACAGACAGCCAGTTATCTGCTACCCCTTACTCGTTTTCTAGCAGCTTTGCTTTTCTCTCCCCCAGGGACCCCCAGGTCCTCCCGGTAAAGAGGGGCGGCAAGGAGAGAATGGCCAGAAAGGAAGCCTCGTAAGTCACCCCACATGTGTCCAGGAGGCACTCAGCTCAGTGCCCCATGGTGGTAGCCAGAGGGTGGCTGGACCCTGGATGTTTGGGGGCCTGGCCAGGTGACCTCTTGAAGGTAAAAAGCCACAAGCTGCCAACACCAGAGGCTAAGGCTGAGGGTGGCTTTCCTCCAAAAGTAGCTGATATGTCACCGTCACCACCCGATAGCCCAGGGGCTTCGGGCTCCTGGAGCTTGCTTAAAACTGCAGCCAGCTGGGGCTCATGCAAAAATTCCAACCAGTGCTGTTGCATTGACTCCAACTCAGGCGATCCATGTGTGTCAGAGTAGAACTGGGTTCCGTAGAGTTTTCAATGGCTGATTTTTTGGAAGTAGATTGCCAGGCCTTTCTTCCAAGGGGCCTCTGGGTGGACTCCGATCCCCAACCTTTCAGTTAGCAGCTGAACGTGTTCAGCATTTGCGGTACCCAGAGACTCCGTGTGAAAATTCAGGACCTCATTATTGCTGTTTTTTCACGATGAAAACTAGGTTAACGCGGATTTTGACTGGATTTGAAAATTATCATGTTTCAGACAATTTTGGTTACACCAGTAACGGGGAAACTTTCAAGAGGCTGCACAGACCTCTCGCTAGGCGTCACCACTCACGGTTCCCGTGGGTTTCTGTGCATGAGCAGGGGCGGGCACATCTGGCTGGTGAAGATGACGCGGGGTTTCCTGTGAACGTGTAAGAATGAGGCTGTTCCTGGCTGAGCAGAGGGAGACGAACCCTTCAGGTTGCCGTTTGTAGGGTTATCTGGAGACAGTTGAGCTAAAAGAATGGACTGATGGGGGCCACGTGTGGCCCCACCTCACCCTGCACAGGGAGGCGTTTGTGGGGCTGAACAGCATGGGGTGGCACAAGGGGCCGCGCGGTGGCCGGCTCCCGTGTGAGGCCCTGTGTCTACTAGTCACACTCCAGGCAGCCAGGATCACAGCCAAGGGACTGGGGCGTGTCCCTACCTCCCCAGACGTCCTGTCCTGCACCAGAAGGGGTCAAGATGAGGCACGCAGAGTTTACACACAGTGTCTTCAGGGAGCTCCGTCTCCTCAGCTTTCGTTACCAGAGAGAAAAACCAAGCCCTGTGCTTCAGGGTGACCAGCAAACCAGTGACTTCTGGGTCGGAGCACAGTTGTGAAGCGGTTGCTCTCTTGCAGGGCTAATCTGTTATGTAGTAATTCCTCTGTCTTGTTCCACAGGGTGAAGCAGGTGCCCCAGGACCTAAGGTACACAAACCGCCCCATGCTCTGGTCTGCTGGGGGTGGGGGTGTACGGGCTCTAGCGGAGCTCTGTCCGTGGTGCTGCCCACGTCCGCCTGGGCCCTGGCTGTCTGCCTGTGGTGGGGCTCACCAACCGTGGACCCGGCGTTTATCCTGCATGACTGTTTCCACTCTGGGTTGTTGGTTTTAGTGCTGTTAAATCGGCTCCAACTCATGGTGACCCCCCGTACAACAGAACAAAAGCTTGCCCGGTCCTGCAATTTTAAGTGCCTTCCAACGTAGGGGGCTCATCTTCCAGCACTATATGGTACAATGTTCTGTTGTGATCCAGAGGGTTTTCACTGGCTAATTCTCAGAAGTAGATCACCAGGCCTTTCTTCCTAGTGTCTTAGTCTGGAAGCTCTGTTGAAACCTGTCCACCATGGGTGACCTTGCTGGTATTTGAAAATCAGTGTCATAGCTTCCAGCAGCACAGCAGCATGCAAGCCACCACAGTGCAACGAACAGATGGGTGGTGGCTCCTCTGAGCTGGGGTCTGCTAATTAAATAAGGCCAGAGGCATTCTGGTACAAGAAAAGTCGGCAGCTCATGTGAAAACGTGCTCCCAGGGCAAACGTGTGAGAGAAGAGCCCACTGGGGGAACTTTGGGAGGGGGTTGTGAGCCTGCTCTGGGGCGGATGCTGCCCTGAGGGCCTGTGGTCCCCTCACTTTCTCACAAGGGGCTACTTCAGGCTTGATGCTGGGGGTGCCATCCTGGCCCGCCCACATTTCCAGTGGAGGCCGGGGCTGCACTGTACCTTTTGCACAGAGGCCAGCTGGCGGCTGTTGCCCGGGAGGGAAGGCTGAGGGGGCTAGGAGTGTTCTCAGGGGCCCAGACCTGCCAGGGCTGGGAGGGAAGGTTCAGACCCCTCCAGACCAGAGGCTGCCTGCCTGCCTTCCTTCTGGGTCCAGGGCCACAGTCCGACCAGGGCAGACAGCTTGTCTATCAGTGTCCAACCAGGCGGGGGAGGGGAAGGGGCCACCTGGAGACTGGGTGGGTTCCCGCAGGACCGGGAGCCTGTGACCCCCATCACAGGTGGACCCGGGAGGCCCCCTCAAGTCTCCGGCTCCATTCAGATCAAGACCATGGATTCCACCTTGGGTTGGGGGTGGGGGGTGGGCGCTAACCAAAACTTCCTTAGGAGGTCAAAGGGGCTGTCTGCCAGGGAAGTGACCGGACTGCAGGCTGGGGGGTACAAGGCAAAGCCCAGTGGGAGAGATGTCAGTGAGGGAAGGACAGTGACAGGAATCAGAAAGGGGGCTCAGGTGTTAGAGAGCCCGAAAGAGAGCTAAAGTGGCTTAAGGCTTAAAGTAAATGCACATGCCTGTGTTTTCGTTAATTGCTCTCTAGTCTATTCCAGTTCATGGCGACCCCCTGTGTAACAGTGTAGAAGTGCTGCATAGGGTTTTCTTGGCTATAGTCTTCATGGAAGCAGATCTCCAGGTCTTTCTTCCACAGAGCCTCTGGTGGGTTCGAACCACCAAATCTTTGGGTTAGCGGTCAAGCACAAACTGCGCCAGCTAGGGACCTTTATGTGTATATACAAAAATACATATGTATACACGTATATACATGTGTCTGTGTGTATATACATGTATATAACCAACACCAATCCAAACCCGTGGCCGACGAGTCAATTCCGACTCATAGCGACCCTGTTGGACAGAGTAGGACTGCCCCATAGGGTTTCCAAGCAGCTGCTTGGTGGATTGGGTGGATTCGAACTGCCGACCTTTGGTTAGCAGCTGAGCTCTTAACCACTATGCCACCAGGGCTCCATACATGTATAAACACACACATATATAAATACAAGTGTCAAGGAATAATGAGGGAAATATTTTTGGATAAAGTTTAAAACGAGAGAAGTGGCTAAAACTGGGAAAAATACTAAAAGATGAGATTAAAAAGGTTAAAACACAAAATTTGTAACACGAATTTTTAAAGATCAAAAATTAAATGAGCTTTTAAAATATAATAAAAAGCACTAAGGTAGATTAAATCCAAGACGGTAACATTTAAGATTCCAGTAAAATTAGTGCTTAGGTGAACTGGGTGGTTAACTGTTGAAAGTGCGAGCAGACTGTTCCAACGCAGACAGTGACTAGGGTTAAGCAGTTACAGAAAGCCACCCCAGCAACGTTTGGGTATCAAGATGGGTAGAAACAGGAATGGTGTCTCCGGAGGTAGGGGCAGCATCAACAGCTGGTGATGTGCATCCGGGGTGAGGGGACCCTTCCCCACTGTGGGGGACTGCAGGAGAACATGGGGCAGACCCAATGTCCGAGTAGGGACCGTGGGAAGGTGGCACCTGTGTCTCTGTGGAATCATGTGGCCTTTCTCCCACGGACATTTGTGACAGTGACAGGCAGGGGCCCCTTTGTGCCCTGGCTATGTGCTGGCCCCGGGCTCAGCAGGCCTCTCACACCATCCCACTCAGAGGTCCCCTGAGGCCGTGAGAACACTGGGATCATCCCCATTTCACAGATGGGAAGACTGAGGCTCAGAGCAGTTCGGTGTCTTCGAGGGGGCAGAGCTGGGCTCGTGTGCGGCTAACCCTGCACTGAAGCCCTTTGCACAAGCCCACCCCGCCCTCTGCATCCTCCCAGCTCCACCCGCCCCCTCGAACTGGCTCCTGCTGGACTCTGGGTCATTCACACCCTAAGGCGGGACGGGCTGTGTGCAACAGACATGCTCCAGGACTTGTCCTGCATCACACGCGCCTACTGTCCCTCCTGGCTCCTCCCCAAGGCCCTCTGGACTAACTGAGACCCGAGGAAGCATCGTGATCGCTGGACAATGCCCTGCCCCCGCCCTGACTCTCTAAACTTCCCTCTCTCCTCTCTCCCCTCACTCCTTCCAGTGGTGCATCCTTCCTCACCTGCTACAGCTCCTTCTCGCTCCCCCCCACCTGCCGGGGGCTTGGGCTGGAGGTAACACGGCCGTGTGGGCAGCATGCTTCGCCCCGTGCACGGCGTGCACCTGGAATAAGCGCTGAGGCTTGTGTCTGCGTTCCGTTTCTAAGCAAACGCAGTTGTCCCATAAACCAGCAGAAAAAGAGATGCTCTGGGTGTGCCTTGCTTCGTAGAATGTTCGATATCCATCTCTCTGCCTTTTCAGATGTGTTTTAATTGTGATAAGAGAATGTTGGTGCATTGGGGTGCTGTGGATAGCATTGGGGTTCAGCCAAAACCCTGAGGGCCGAGAGTCACCAGCTCCCTTTCCCCCCTGCAGGGAGACCAGGGAGACCTTGGCCCTGTTGGTGCCCCTGGGAAGGATGGCCTGGCAGGAGACCCTGGACCAGCCGGACCTCAAGGGCCCCCAGGTCCCCCTGGGCCCCCAGGGCCGCCTGGGCCAGGATTTGCAGCGGGATTTGTGAGTACCAGCCGCTCTTGCCCCCATGGCCCGCTCCTACCTCAGGCACCTCACAAGCCACGCACACTCTCTGGGCAGGGGACTGACATCACCCCTTCCCAGTAGGCCTCCTCCCCTGCCCAGGGTTAGTGTCTGACCACGGCCCTGTCCCGTCGGTCATCCTGTGATGTGACTCCCGGTCATGTCTTGCATGGACAGTGCCAGGGACAGAGATGCAGAAGGAGCAGTCCCCACCCGCCTCCTGCTGCAGCTGCCTCGGTGCTGGGGCTGCCCCTGGCCCACCCAGTCCGTTTGACCATGTCCACATGATCTCTGGATGCTGAAGGGGACCTACAGCCCCTCCTGAGCAAGGCAGCCCCACAGCCCCATCTGCAGACCCACCCAGCCTGGAAGCCAATAAACCACGCCCAGGAGAGGCCGAGGGGCCCCGGCAGGTCCCTCTGACTAGCAGGCTTGTCCTGTTAGCAGCATCCCACGGCATCGTCCTTGTCCACCCTCGACTCGTCTCTGCTCTTAGCCCGTCCTTTAAGGGAAAGAAGCAGGCCTGAATGTCTCTCCCGTGTTTTCCTCCAGGGCGACATGGAAGGTTCTGGAGGGCCCTTCTGGTCGACAGCCGAAGGCTCCACTGGACCACAGGTACTGCCCGTGGGTGGGTCGGTTAGCATCTGGTGTCAGGACCCTGCAGGAAGGCATCTCTGGCCTGGAACCATGGGACAGTGGCAGGCCCGAAGAGCCACTGGGCGGCTGGTTCCAGGTCACTGTCAGACCTCGGCCCTGCACCTCCCTGGAACGCTCAGCTGTTGGTCGGAAGTCAGCTGAGATGAGAACCTAGTCCCAAGGTGGACAGAGGCCGAAGGTCGTCAGGATGGATCAGCAGGGGCAGAACGGCCCTGGAGATGGGGGCCTCTGGGAGCATTGTTTGACCTGGGTACGGTTCACATTGAACCAAAATCGGGAGCCTCCCTGTGAGTGCCCACCTGGGGTCTGCCATCAGCGTGTGCACCGTCAGGGCTGGACTCAGCAGGGAGTGGCCCCACCCGAGATACCCCGAGCATGATGGGGGCCGGGTACTCCCCCATCCCCCCGCCCGATGCTCCGCCACCGAGTGGCACCCAAGGCTGGCACAGAGCAGGGGCCCTGGTCACGGCACCACCTGCCTGTACAGGGTACCCCTGGCACGGGGGCCACCGCAGCCCTGCCCTGACGCTGGAGGGCCCCAGACCTCGCAGCCCGTGTCATCCCCCAGGGATTCGGCCTGAGGAGAGTGCCTGGCTGGGACAGACCCTTTCATCTGAGCAAAATGAATGAGAATTCTTATTTGGGTAGACATGGATTCCACAGCTTGTGGATGGTTTTCTATTAAGTTCCCTTTTTTGTTTTAATGTTGTCATCTTTTACATATAGACTTCTCTGTTACTCTATTTTCAGTGTTTTAGCTTTTTTTTTTTTTTTTAACTTTCCTTTTATATATTTAAAAAAAAAAAGATCTTAATTTTTGCCAATAGCAGTTAGCTGCTTTCACATCAGACGAGCAGATGTGGACCAAAGATGAAAGAACTGTTGTTGCTTGAACGTGGGGGCGGGGTGACCCCATGGACAGCGGCGTGGGAGGTCTCGGGGCACGGCCCCCCCGATTTAGGTTGTTGAAGCACGTGAACAGCTCCAAGGGGCCTCTTGAAGGGTACAGTGAGGCTGTTTCACGACCACACGGATGACGCAGAAGCCATTGAGACGTCGCTTGTCCATCGCCTCTGAGACCACAGAGAACCTAAACCCAAACGGGCCCACCTCACTCCTCCAGCATGGCTCACGGGCACCACTATCTTTGTTAAAAGGACGCATTCCCTTATATGTATTTTTAGTTAACTACAACGCACCTACAGAGGTCCTTGGGACCGCCATCTCGGGCGGGGGCATACATGCCGCCATGGCAGCCCCACTGAGACCCCAAACCCGCTGTGGTCACTGGCCAGGCAGTTCCCATTCAGTCTACAGTGGAGCTGAGGACAGCCGCCGCTCGTGGGGTTCCTTGGGGTACATTGGCTCCTTTTGATAGTGCTCAATTTTTCTCTCTGAGTCAGAGCTGTGGGCGCTCGGAAGGGCTCCGCTCTGGGTGGTTAAATGTTCCTCCAGCCTTCGCTAATGTCACTGCTCCCTTCTTTGCCCACAGGGACCGCCCGGTGTGCCAGGACTCAAGGTCAGTGAGGGCTAGACTGGAGCCCACACCCCACAGCCCACCGTGGTTTCTGACCCTGAGCGCAGAACTGTGCAAAAGACAGAGAAGCCGAAAGGGGAGATAAAGTCACGCACGGCCCCTCCCTGGACATTGCACGGTTAAAGCATGGTGGCCTTTGCCCACCTTGTTAACATGCCACGAGCGGGGTCCTTGGTTTCCCGTGTCTGCAGTGCATTTACGGACTTGGACAGAAAGACATGGCACAGGGAGGAACCTGGAGCGACCCCCTACAGCCCCCGCCAGTCTCAGTGACAGCTAGGTCCTAGCTTGGGGCAGTGGCGTTGGCTTCCCCTGGAGAACCTAGGAGCTTCTCTTCCAGGCCGTGCTCCATGCCCCCGTGCCCTGGAGGACAAGAGCCCCCTACTTGCCTGGCACGGCTCCTCCCCTTCTCCTTTGGGGTGTATGCCCAGGAGGGCGGGACTGCAGACACAAGAGGACGAGGGCAGAGGGGCCAAAAGGGATATAACTTGGGGGTGGGCTTCTAATGGTGGGAATAATGGAGCCGTTAAGATGACATAAGACATACAGCTTCCAGAACAGTCCAGACCATGTGCCCATTAGCATATGACTTACTGGCCTTCACAAACCAGGCCTCAGGCCCTTTGCATGAGCCACTCTGTGTTCCCGGACCAATGAATGTTGGGAGGGGGCCCAGCCTCGTGGTTCCTGAGAGGGGTGGGGAGGGGGCAGTGTGAGATGCAACCAGGATAATTAGCCCCTTCCTTCCTCTCCATGGGGAGCGGGGTGCACTGCCTCAGGGGTGGGCTGGCCCACACACTGCACTCAAAGAGCTCCTACCTCCATTTCAGGGGGATCCCGGAATGGCTGGGCCGCCTGGGGCCAAGGTGAGACCCTTTTCCCGGGTTCAGGAAACCTACAATCCCCGGCTCAGGGGAGGAAGAAGGCTGCGGCTCCTTCGGTCACATCAGCCCCTTGTCCCCAGCCTCAGTAAATGAGGTGACGTGGGCATGTCCCAAAGGCCCGGCAAGGCCATGGGTGGGGAGGTCTGCATGTTCAAAGCTCCAATCAGGGACCAGCCACCATTCCCACTTGTCTGCCCTGGGTCTTCCTGGCGTGTGCCTGTAAGATGTGCCTGTGTCAAAGGTGACCCCCTTCCCGGGCCCCCACCGCCCAGGGCCTCATCCAGGTGTCCCCGCTGCTCCCCTCCTGGGCTCCGCTGCATCTTTCTGAGCCAGCCAGGCCTCTGCCTGGCGCTGACCACCTGCCTGTCCCCCCTCACCTGCCCCAGCCCTCATGGTGTGAACACAGGGACCTGGCCACCTCCCATGGGCTCTGGGGCCCTTCTCAAAAGCCCAAGTGCTTGCAGCCACATGCCTGACATGTGCTTCTTCCTGTGTTGGGTCCAGGGGGAAACGGGAGAGAGCGGTGCCTCCGGGTTCCCTGGCCTCCCCGGCAGAGAGGGCGCAGCCGGGCCGCAGGTGAGCAAGACTCCTCCAGCAGATCCCTGGGGGGGACAGACGGGCTCCTAGCTGCTGACCCTGCTCCGGGAGCCCTGAGGGGTTGAAGCTCCTGCAGGGACATGCAGAGATGAGCACTGGCACCCGGGACCCTTCCGGGGACCCAGGCGTCCGTGTCCCCCGACTCGATCCTGTGAGTGGCTCCAGCCGACGCCCCACTTGTCTTGGCTCTTGTTCTGCTGGTGGTGATCATCTCTCTCCTATCTCTGCAGGGACCAAAGGGGGACAAAGGAAGTCAAGGAGAAAAGGTCAGCGTCACAGGGCGGGGCCGAGGGCGGAGCGTCTTCAGAGGCCCCATGCGTGGAGGGCAGGGCTGCGGAGGGCAGGGCTGCGCACCCTGAACGGTGCACCCCAGGGTGCCACTCTCTGCCCCACCCATCCCGCCATGCGTGTGGCCTCAGCAGCTTGGAGATGAGCCCTCCTCCTTCAGTTGGGAGTAGTGCCTGTCAGTGCTAGGGTGCTGGGGTCCCCTCTCAGGGTCTGCCCTGCAAGCGGGGAAGCTCTGAAGACAGAGGTGTAGGGCATGGGGTAGACTGTCCCTGCTCAGAGCCTGCCCTGCCTGGGATAGGGGGCTCTCAAGGCCACTGTCCTCAGCCCGCAGATGCCTCCTCATACCCCAGAAGCCCCGGGGAGCCCCCTCCAAGTAGTGGTTGGCCACAGGAGCCATGATAGTTCATCCCCCAGAAAACAGAGAGCTGAAGGTGAGACCTTCTCTTCCAGGGCGAGCCGGGCAAGGATGGCGTGGGGAAGCCGGGACCCCCAGGGCCTCCCGGAATCCCGGGGCCTGTTCTCTATGTGTCGTCGGAGCAGGACGTAAGGACGCTGTGTGGGGGGCACCCTTCCTGCCCAGACCCCCACCCCCATAGCTTCAGTCACAGCCACTGCAGGGCAGACCCCCAGACAGCTGTAGGCTGGGCGCTGGGGGCCATGGGTGAGGCTGGCCCTTGGTCAGGGCCACCAGCCTGCGAGTACTGGCCTCACCCCATAGGGTGACCCCAAAAATGCCAGGTGCCCTTGGCTCCCATCTTGTTGGTTCTATTCAGAACCAGTAACTGGGTCTCCTTCTGCAAGACTGTATTTAAAAGGAAAGAAAAGGTAAGGTTGGGAGTCCAGCACAAAGCAGGTGTTCCACAGCAGAAATGTTACAAAGGGAAAGTGGACATTAGGGGTCTAAGACACCACCACTCCCCCAGTGTCCCCTCAGGGGGTCTGCAGCTCTCGGCTGCCGAGCTGCTGAGACCCGAGTCCCTGTGCCTGGAAGGTGGAGGTGCCCCCCCTTTACAGTCCGAGGGTAGCACAGGAGGGGCCTTGAGGCAAAAACCAGAGAAGTGTGAGAGAGCACAGTTTTCTTTGTGTATTTAGTTCTGGGTGTTGTTCCGCTGGTTCTTGTAAGAGGAACCTGGTGAGAGTCGGCTTTGAATTTTAAACGCAGTTTTTCTTTCTCTTCTTCTGTTTATATTTTCTTGCTGATCTGCTGACAGAAGGTGGTCGCCAGTGTGCACGGAACCAAGGTACGGGGGGCTCGCCCTGTCGCTGAGGAACGCGCCTCGGCTCAGCGCTGTGGGTGCTGGCTGGGCTGGTGTTTCTGGGGTGCATGACACCAGGGTGACATTGACCCCACAGCTGGCGTGTCCCTCTCTCCCGCAGGGCACGCCCGGGCACGCAGGCTTTCCTGTAAGTAGCCTCCAGGTCTCTCTGTGGGGCTGCAGCCTGCACCAGCAGGGATGGCGGTGGGAGGGCGGGGGTCCTCCTGGGGAAGGTGGGGGATGCTGGGTCCCTCAGGTCCTTCCCTCCTGCCTGGCCTCCTTTCTAGGGACCGACCGGCCCAAAAGGCGACCTGGGCTCCAGAGGCGAGCCTGGCCTCCCAGGACAGAAGGTGACGGACGGCACAGGGCCCCTCTCCTTGGGGCACCCCTGATGGGGTCCCTCTCCCGGGGTCCTCACAATGGGGGCCCTTCTCCTCGGGGTCCCACCATGGGGTTCCTGTGGCCAGCAGGGATGGGAGCTTCAATTTCACTGTGGTCGAAGCCTTTGACCAGAGCCTAGATGTGCTTTGGGGACAGTCCCATGGTGTCCGCTGGTATAACATCTGCCAGGCCATGACTGGGCATGGTGACAGACTCCAGCCCTGGGTTCTCTCTGCAAAGGCCACCTCTTTCTGGGTCTTTCTTTGGGGGTCTTCCCAGTGGGGCCCCAGTTTGGGGCTTTACCTGGGTGGGAGCGAGGACCACTTGGAAAGAGTGGTTGACCCCGGCCGGGACGGTCTGCCATTCCAGGGTGAAAAGGGCGAGCCTGGAGCCAACTTCAGCCCCGAGGGCAGCGTCCTGGCCGAGAAGGGAGCCAAGGTGAGGGCTGGCAGCATGGGGGCTGGGGCCATGGAGACAGCTCAGAGGGGCATCCTCCTGAGACAGGCTGGCTATTGCTGACGCCTTTCTCGATCAGGTTCCAGAACCTTCTGTAGTGTGGGCCGGGGACTGCAGAGGGACCTCCTCGCGCCTTCCTTTGTGTGTCTGTCCATCTTTCACGACCTCGAGGGCCCAGACCCGAATCAGTCCCTGATAGCTGCATGAGGGACCTGGAGTGGACATGGCCCGAGGCCAGTCTGACAGCAGGCCCTTCCTTTTCTATCAGTCAAGCCCACCCTGCAGAGAGGCTTCGAGTAGGGCATGGGGACTCAGGTGGACCTCACCTGTGGGAGATGAAGGAACTCAGCATCACCCAGCTCCATGTCCCAAGCCTCTGGGGCTGCCCCCACCCCGCAGGTTTCCAGCTGCCTCTCCGACCTCTCCGTGGGCCCTAGGCCGACAGGCAGCAGTCCCACCCCCTTCCACTACGTGGCCCCAGGGGATGCCTGCAGGAGCCCCCCAGCATGGCTGGAGCCAGGGAGCTGGCTTCTTGAGGGGCCGTGCCCTGGGTCTAGCTCCTTCCAGCAGGCAGCCACACAGCCCAGGCCCTGGAGGGGGTCTGGGAGGGGATGCACCAGGGTCTCATGGGTGTGGGGGGCAGACTAGCAAACCTGTGAGCAAGGTGGAGCCCTGGACTGTCTGGAGATGCTGTGGGACCCTGGAGCCCCCAGGAGAGAACCCTACCGCTGTCCCTGGCTTTATATCTGAGATCTGGACCCACGTGGGCCACGGAAAGCCCTGCTCAGCCACGCAGCTTCAGAGGATGCCCAGGCCAGCTCACCTTTTGTGCCTGGCAGGGCTCCAAGCTGCAGGATCTCAGGGTGCACCCTGTCCATGCACCAGCCAGACACAAACCCCAACTCATAACCTTCTCCCGCTGGGGTATCTTCCCTCCCCAGCCGGCAGACAGTGCAGCCAGCAGCCAACTGACACTCCCTCTTGTTTCTGTTCAGGGTGAGCCGGGATTCCGAGGACCCCCAGTGAGTATGGGCGCGGCGTGCTTCGGGTGCCTTCGGGACACTGGTCATCCATGTGGCCGTGACCTGTGGCCTGACAGTGTGGACGGGTCGCAGAGCAGTGTGAAAACCCACAGACTCCTCTGGCCGAGGCTGGCACACTGCAGGCTGCCCGCCATGCCGAGAAGCGAGGGTCGGGGCGCACAGAGCCTGCCACACTCGGGCACCTCCTCTGGTCCCCAGTGCCACGGCCAGCCCCCTCTGAGCTTACGTCTGCACCCGGGGCCCCGCCTCCTTGGGACTGAGCTCACGCCCCCATGCACACACACGGGTACACACGGTGCTCTGCTCTGTACGGGGTGAGCTGCCCTGCCAGCACCCGGGGGCCTGCTGCCCTCGTACCGGGAAACACCTCAAACACAAGGCAGCAGGTGCGGGGAGGGGTACAGCTGGGCGGGCCCCGGGGCAACGCGGGAGGCGGGGGCGGGGCTGAGGGACCCGCGCCCCCACCCTGTGCCCCAGTGGAGCTCCCCTGCTGACCCCAAATGCCCTCTGCTCCGCAGGGCCCCTATGGACGGCCTGGGCACAAGGGCGAGATCGGCTTTCCCGGACGGCCGGTGAGGAGCCAGGGGCCAGGGCAGGGTGGGTGGGGTCGGGACCGATGGGGGCTGCGGGGCCGGTGCTGGGGCAGAAGAGCTGGCCAGCGGGGGGTCACGGGCCACAGCTCACTGTGCTCTCTGTCGCAGGGTCGCCCAGGGATGAATGGACTGAAGGGGGAGAAAGGGGAGCCAGGGAATGCTGCCACTGGATTCAGCTTGAGGGTGAGTGTCCTGCGAGCACGGTGGGCAGGGCCGCGGGGACACCCGGGGACTCGGAGTGGCCGGGCTGGGGCCTCGCATGCAGCCACACTCCCACCGGAGACAAGTCAGAGCAGTCCTCTGCACCCGTGCCACACAGCTCCTCTGACACCCGCTCACACACACACACACAACACTCACAGATACTCATACACACTCACACACACAAACACATACACACATACAACACACACACACCACACACACATCACACAACACTCACAAATACTCATACACACTCGCACAACACACATAACACACACACACAACACTCACAAATACTCATACACACTCACACATACACACAGCACTCACACTTACACACATACACACTCACACAACACACACACAACACTCAACACTCACAAATACTCATACACACTCACACAACACACATAACACACACACACAACACTCACAAATACTCATACACACACAACACACATAACACACACACACAACACTCACAAATACTCATACACTCAACACACACAAACACACAACACACACACACAAACAACACTCAACACACTCACACTCATACACACACACAACACTCACACTGATACACACACACACTTGCAAACACACTCATACACACCACCACACACTCAGTACACACACTCATACACACAAATTCACAAACATCAATCACACACACATACATACACACAATTAAGCTTCACAGAGTTAACTTTTCAATTCGAAACCTGCGGTGGTTAGACCCACCCCAGGGCTGCAGCCCCTCCGCGTATGACCAGCCCCCTCCCGGCTCGGCCAGGTTCCTTATAATCCACACAGGCTTGTGGGTCCCCACCCGGGGGATGTTAGGTGCATGACTCTGTCTGGAAATGTGACGGGGACACTGCCTGTCCTTGGTGGGTTCGCCATCACGAGATAACCCAGGGGCAGTTTGCGGGGCCGCCTCATTCCATTTTCTGACTTCACTGCGAGGTGCAGAGATGCTCCCGCCCATGGCACCCCTGTCTGTGCTGTGAGTGGGGGTAAGCACGGCTAACCAGTCCTTTTTCTACCCCCACAGGGTCCGCCCGGCCTCCCAGGGCCTCCAGGGCCCCCAGGCCCTCCTGGGACGCCCGCCTATGACAGCAATGTAAGTCTCCAGGCTGCCCCGAGCCCCTGCTGCCCTGCGCTCTCCCCCACGGCCCCTCTGACCGCTCCTTTCAAAGAACCTTGGAGAAGTGCCGGGCCTTCTTTCCTCTGATCACTAGAGAAGCTGGGTGGGGGGCAGCCTTCGGCCTCTGGGTCCTGGGGGTGCATCTGGGATGGGAGGCTCTGGTGTAAGGTCAACGCTGTTAACAGGTATGTGGCCCCCCTAGATCCTTCAGGCCCACCTCAGTGTGGGAGCCATCCTTAGGGAGCAGTCAATCAGAAGGCAGGTCCCACAGAGGGCTGGGGAAGGGAGTGGGGGGCTCCTAGGCTGGGAGCTGCTGGGTACTTAAGCCCCGTGGCAGTAGGAAGTGGCCAGGGCCCCCATTTCACGGATGCAAAAACTGAGGCTTAGAGAAGTGAAGCAACCAGATCCCTGTGACCTCTCCCCTCCCTCACCCCCCATGGCCCTGTCTGTGCAGAGGGCTGAGGTGCCTGTGTGGCCTCGCAGAGGGGCCTGGGGGGGCTCTTCTGGGCTCAGGGATCCCCCGGTGTACAGTGGCCTCAATTTCCAGAGCACCACCCCCTCAATGGTTGGCACGGGCCCCTCCTTTGCAGGCATTTGTCAACTCTGGCCGCCCTGGGCCTCCAGGATTGCCAGGTGAGGCGGAGGGGGCGGTGAGTCCCTCCACCCTGCACTGCAGCTCACAGCTGAAGGCAGCAGGGTGGCGGGGGCCCGGGCAGTGGGGTGGGCAGTGGGGTGCACTTTTCACAGGGTTGCGGTGAAATCAGCACCAAGCACAAGGATTTCTTCCAAGTCTCTAACCCTGGGCGTCCCCATCCCCAGGGTGTCCGTGAACTCCCAGCCCCGCCTGTGGCCAGGATACCCCAATCCTCACTGAGTCCAGCCCCTCTCCCTGCCAGGCCCTGCTTCCTCAGTACAGCCTCTCAGGGATCCCGGTCCTGGGGTGGGGCAGACCCTGGCATGACACCCGCCTGCTGTTCTGAGTTCAAACTGCTCCCTGACAAGCAGGAGTCGGGGGTGCTGACCCTTTCTGCTCTGGGCACAGCCCCCTCTGCTCACCGTCCCTGCACAGACCTGGGGAGTGTGCTGGGAGGGCCCCTGTGGGGCTGGCACACCTCTGCCCTTCTCAAGCTCTGCTCTGGCTATCCCCGATCTGTCCAGTGTCCCCTTCCCTGTCCAGGCCCACCCAGTGTGGGGGACCCACCGGCAGTCAGCAGGCTGGAGGGGGCGCTGTCCCACACAGCCCTGCCGGTGGCCTTCAGGTAAGCGGCCTCGTCTGTGTCCCCACAGGGTTCCAGGGGCCTTCTGGACCGAAGGGAGACAAAGGAGAAGCGGGCCCACCCGGTCCCCCAGGTGAGCAAGCTCAGGGCACCCCAGCTGAAGAGGACAGCGCCACCAACACATGCTGTGGGAGGGTCACTGCCCCATCCTCCTCAGAAGAAAGCCCCTCCTAGCTCACAGAACCCCAGCATGGCGGCGGGGGCCACGTGTGGACCCCCGACGGCTGGGGGTGGGGGCTGCATGCGCGCCGCGGATGGCTGGGAGGGGACTGCGTGCAGACCTTGGGTGGCTCGGGTGGGAGGGCTGCATGTGGCCCGCAGGTGGCTGGAGGGGGCAGGGGGCTGTGCGGGGACACTGGGTGGCTGGGGAGGGCGGGGGGCTGCATGTGGACCGGGGGCAGCTGGGCAGCCACACTGCTGGGGTTGAGGATGAGACCCGCTAGAGGAGCCTTGTCCTGGGCCCAGGGCCTGGGGGGGCTCCTCTCCTGGTGGGACGGCCTCACAGCCCACCCACTAAGGAACAGGGTGGCACCCTTCCTCTGCACGCCTCCCAGAGGCGGCCCGGTACCCCCAGTGTGCGGGGGTCCTGAGATGCACTGCCCCTCCCACGGGCTGGTCAGCAAACACACCTCACATCTGGAAGCTGGTGTATGAGTTTCACGGCAGGTGAAGTGCACGCGAAGAGAGAATAAGTGAGCCACCGGGGCAGTGGGGCCAGAATGTCCGACGGCAGCGGGGCGTGTGGGAGACATAGGAGGCGGTGGCCCCTAGTGCGTGTGACCACAGTGCCAGAGGGGGGGCGCCGAGCAGAAGGAGCACACCAAGCCATAACAGCTGAGCATTTCCAAAGGGACAAAAGATTCAAAAAGCGCCTTGCACACCCAAAGGCTCCACCCGAAACCCGACAGGTGGCTTTTCAACAAAAGTGAGAGTAGCCAGCAGACCATCAGGTGACTGTAAAATGTGGAAGGAAGCCACTAACTTAGAACTGCACAGGCAGTGACAACTTTCTTCAAAAGGAGGATGAAATGGTGGCAGTGAAGCCACCCCCTGTGCTCCAGCCCTCGGGGGCCGTGAGGGGCTCCAGGTGCTGCGAACAACGCTGATGGAAGAGTAGGGATGCGGGATGGAAGGCGGAGCAGGAGAAAGGCAACTCAGATCAGCACAGACCAGCCACGTTACGCCACCTGCCAGTGACCTGTCCATAGTGAGTGAGGTCACAGACCCCCAACACCTCCGCCCTGTCCAGGAGGTGGTGAGAGTTCTGGCTTACATTATAATTTCTAGGTTAAACCAACAACAGGAAAAGAATGCGCATCTGGTTATCTACAGAAGAAGGGAATAATAATCACCCACTTGATCTTAAACAAGATAGGGGAGGAGAGAGAAAGGAGCAAAGAACTGGTGGAACGAATAGAAAACCAAGTAAAACAGATGGAACCCCAAATGTACCAGGAAATACGTTAAATGCACATACAGTGGATGCTTCTATTAGAAGACACGGTGGCTACTACATGCTGCTTACAGGGGACAAATCAAATGCTGATCGTGAAAGCAAGGGAGAAATCGCGTTAATCAGAAGAGAGCTGGCAAATGTGTGTGTGAGCATGAGTGATGTGGGTGTAAGTATGAGTGTGTCTGGAGTATGTGTGTGATTGTGTGTATCTATGTGAGAGTATGTGGTGTATCTGTGTGCATGTGTGTGTGTGTAAAACCAGACAGTATATCTTAAGAACCGTTGCCATAAACACAGAAGAAACTTTCCTAATGATAAAAGAGTAACTTCACCAAGAAAATGCAGCAACTCTAAATTTCTTCATGCGCCTAATAACATGGAGTCCTGGGGGTGGCGCTGATGGTTAAGCTCTTGACTGCTAACTGAAAGGTCAGCGATTTGAGTCCACCCAGAGGTGCCTCAGAAGAAAGGCCTGGCAATCTACTTCTGAAAAATCAGCCACTGAAAACCCTGTGGAGCCCAGTTCTACTCTGACACACACGGGGTCGCCATGAGTTGGGGCTGACTTCATGCAACTGGCTTTTTTTTTTTTTTTTTAATAATATAGCCTCAAGATATAAGAAGTAAAACAGAGAAAGAGGGAAAAGACAGAAATCAATGATTTTAGGGGGAAACTAACCCAGCTCTCGGTAACTGATAGAAGAAGTGGAAAGGAGAAAAGTCACTAAGGAGATGGGAGATGGGAACAGCGTGGCTACACACCTAGGCTCCGTGATGTATCCTGCCGCCGCCCCCAACACCTGGGGACACACAGCACGTTCCAGCAAACAGAACATTTGCCAAGCAGACCAACACCAAGCTAAAAGCAAATCTCCACAAAGTGGAAGGAATTGACAGCATGCAAACGATTTCTGTGACCACGCAGATTTGTCAATAGGAAGTCAGCCTCGGCAAAGGGACGAGAAAGTGCCTGTTAAGCATCACGCTTGCAGAGGACTCACGAGGTCAAAGGGGAAATTGCAACGGAAGTTAGACGTAAGTGGAACTGTATGATCATGAAAATCGGAGACATCAGAACATGCAGGGTGTTGCTAAAGGTGCGCTCTGCAGAAGGACCCGGGACAAAAAGCAGAGTCGCGGACCCGGGTCGCCTCCAGCAGCCCCCTAAGTGACGGTGGTGACGTGGTGGGGTCCCGGGCGGAGTGGAGCCACCAGGCTCAGAACTAGTTCTGCAGTGACGGCCAGGGCATGCCTCTTAGGGCCGCTCAGGAGGTGGTGCTTCTGCACCCATGGGAGCCCAGAGCTGGCTCCCACCCGGTATCAGGCCAAGTGGCTTACCCATCAGGGGTCGTTCTTACTGCAGTCCGTGTTGCCCGGTCACACAGCTGCCACTGTACCTGTATCAGGTTTCCCAGGAATGGTCATGGAAGCACGTCAGCCCAAGGTCGCCTTCCCAGAGGGAAGGAGAAGGGGTTTGTTAACTCTGTGTTCACACAACTGCAGCCTTAAATAGCATACATGTCCAAGCATCTAGCTCAGGAAGTTGGAAATGAACAGAAACTTTAACTAGAAGAAAATAGATGGCAGGAATGTTCAAGATCAGAAATTCATGAAATCTATATGTACATATATATACATACCGGTTGCTGTTGAGTCGCTTCCAAGCCGTGTGTCAGAGTGGAGCTCCATAGGGTTTTCAGTGGCCGATTTTTCAGACGTACATCGCTAGGCCTTTCTTCTGAGGTGCCTCTGAGTGGAGTTGAACCTTCAGCCTTCCAATTAGCAGCTGAGTGCTTGACTGTTTGCGCCATAAATTTACCAAGGTAACTAGATATAGGGACAATTTACAAAACTCCGTTAGTAGTCAGAAACAATTACCATGGAAATTTAAAGATATCGTTAACAAAAGCATCAAAAATCCCAGTGAAGCAGGAATAAATGTACTAAAATATGCCCAGGATGTCTACTCAGAGAAACACAGAATCACTAAAGGAAATTAAGTGACTTAATTATCAACTACCTGAAGAATCAATTTTGAGTAAAACAATAAAGCTTCTGGCAAATAAAAGAGGAGAACTCCTGCCTGTCCTTGGGGTAGGCAGTTACTTAGAATACAAAGAGCAAATAAAGAACTGCCCCGACCACAAGACCCCATTAAGCACGTTAACTGCAAACCACAGAGTGGAAGGAGGAGTTTGGGGTGCACACACCAGCAGAGGACTCCTGCCCGCAATATATATAGAACAAATCTACCAGTTGCCGTGGAGAACACTCCAACTCATGGTGACCCCATGTGCAGAGCAGAACTGTGATCCATAGGGTTTTCAACGGCTGTGACCTTTCAGCAGGAGATCGCCAGGCCTTTCTTCTGAGGCGCCTCTGGGTGGACTCCAACCTGCAACCTTTCGGTGAGCGGCCAAGCACATTCACCATTTGTACCACCCAGGGACTCCAAAGAATTCCTACAGGTCAGTTAGAAAAAGACAGAAACAATGTCATTATTCTTGGATTCCGTATTTACGAATTCACTGGCTTGCTAAAAATACTGGTGGCAGGTCGCAGTCATTTGTGGAGACGCACATGCGCACAGCAAGGAGAACTTCCAGCTGTGGTTGTACAAGGCTGGTTCCCTGTTCACTAATTCAGTGTTGCGGGAATTTTATAGAACGTAACTCCCTCGAATAGCAAGAGTCGACTGTACGAACAAAAGCCGGGAGCAGGCATCTCACAGAATAAACACGCTCAGCCTCCTGAATCAGGAGGTCTATGGGAATCAAATGGAGTCCCTAGATGGCGCAAAGGTTGGCGGTTCAAACCCTCCCAGGGGCACCTCATAAGTAAGGCCTGGTGACCTGCTTGCGAAAGGTCACAGCCATTGAAAACCCTATGAAGCACAGTTCTCTGCACGTGGGGTCGGAGCCAAAGTGCAAACAACCCCACGGCCATCCGTGGTGGCGGTGAGACCTATGTTTCGGTATGGTCACACTGCATGGCCATCCTGCAGCAGACCTCTGGTCCACACGTCACAGATGAACCCCAAAATGCTGAGCGCGTGAGCCAGGCACCGAGTCCTCACTTTAGATCTGCTTATATGAGGTTCCAAACCAGGTGACGCTGCTCTGGTCTGTACCACAGTTCCTCTTAGGGGGGCACTGCGGGGGTGTGGGCCCCCCCCAGGAATTGGCGTGGGGGGCTGGCCTGGGGGCTGTCCCGGGGGCCCACCTGGGGAGCTGAGCAGACAGTGTCACTTCTGACCATTCATCCAGTCCGCGTGATGCTGGGTCCCTTCGGTGCTTGTATATTGCACCTGAGCGAAAAGGCTATCTAACATGCATCGTGAGAAGGAGCCCCCTCCTGGCCAGAGAGCATGCTCTGCAGGGCAGCTGGGGGGCCGACGTTGCCCCTTGCCGCAGCTGCCGCTGTGGCTGCAGTGCTGCTGGCGGGGCGCAGGGAGGGAGGCGCGGTAGCGGCACGGAGGGTCTCACGCCCCCTTTCCCTCGCTCTCTCCCCCTCCCTCCCGATCTGCAGGGCAGTTCCCATTTGACCTTCTGCAGTTGGAGGCTGAGATGAAGGTGGGTGTCAGCTTTGCACCACCAGAACCAGACCGGGGGGCCAACGTCCCCATGGGACCCCCGTTCTTGACATGAGGGTCTGTCCCGGACCCGCCTGCTCACACAGTTCCTCTTCCTGACGGCACTGGCCTCAGGTTCCCTGGGGCCCACAGCTCCTCTGTCCGACCCACGGGGTGGGGGGCATTGGCCCAGTGGGCGGAACCCCAAGGACCTTCACCTCAGTTCTGTGGGGGACTTAGGGGAACAGCAGGCTGGGGGGCAGAGCTTTCCTTCTCTGCGGTGAGTAGCTCCAGGCTATGCTGGGTCCAAGTGCCTCACCCTGGCTGGGAGGGGACTAGGGAGGCCTCACCTTGTGGGGGTCAGGCTCCCCACACCCCCGCTCCACACAGCTGCCTGCTTCAGACAAGCGTTTCTCCTTCCCTTTAGGGCGAGAAGGGTGACCAAGGGGACCCCGGGCAAAAAGGAGAGAGGGGAGCACCAGGAGGCGGCGGATTCTTCGGCTCCAGTGTGCCAGGCCCCCCTGGTCCTCCTGGCCCTCCGGGCTACCCTGGGATTCCGGTAAGCAGGGTCCAGGGGCCACTCCGGACTGTGCAGGCACAGAGGTCACCTCCAGGATGCGGCTGGGCCCAGGGCTGAGGGCAGGTCTTGCCCAGCATGGGTGACCGCCCAGGCCCATGAGGCTGCAGTTCTGCGAGCTGGGCCCCCCGAAGCAGCCTGTCCTCCTAGCCCCATCCCCCACCCCCGAGTCTTTGCACTTGGGGGCTGCGGTGAAGGTGGGTGCCCACACAGAGCCGTGGCCCTCCGTGGTGTGGCACCCAGCCATGGCGCACCCAGGCTAGGAAGGACACCCCACCTTTGCACTAATCCTCCAGTCACCCCTGCCTCCTCCCTCTGGGTAGGAGACCGTCAGTCCTTAAAGAGCACAGAGACAGAAGAGTCGCAGCTTCTGCTGGGGCCTTGGGGGCAACCCTGTTCTCAGGGAGCTGCCCTGGTCTCCTGCCTGGCATTGCATCCCCCAGAGAACGGGAGATGGCAGCGTGAAGGGGCAAGCTCCCCCAACCCTCGGTGCTGACCCTCACCCTGCTCCTGCCCCGCGCAGTGACCAGGGGCTCCAAGGTGGCAGGAGGGGCCTGCTGGTCTGGGCCTGGGCCTGGGCACTGCAGGGTAACAAGGTCCCCGTGTTCTGTCGTCCGCCCCTAGGGCCCCAAGGGAGAGAGTATCCAGGGTCAGCCTGGCCCACCAGGTCCTCAGGGACCCCCCGGCATCGGCTATGAGGGACGCCAGGGGCCTGCCGGGCCTCCCGGACCCCCAGGACCCCCAGGACTCCCCTCATTTCCCGGCCCTCACAGGCAGAGTAAGTCTGGCGGGGCATGGACCTGGTGAGCCTCGGGACTCGGCGCAGCCTGGTCCAGCCCGGTGGCATGACATCCACCACTGCTCTGTCTCACAGCAATCAGCATTCCTGGCCCTCCTGGCCCACCTGGTCCCCCGGGGCCCCCTGGAACCACGGGTGCATCCTTGGGCGTAAGTATCTGGGTGGTGGCTGGGCACCGCCTGCCTGGCCAGCCAACTCCCACTGCGCCGTCCCATTCCTCACCCTGGCTGACCCTCGCTGCCCGCTCCCAGCCACTGTCCAGCTGCTCCGTCCTGCTTTTTGGAGGGCTGAGGATAGGCTGTCTCAGAGCTCCGTGGACACCATGGGGTCCCAGCTCTGAGCCAGCTTTGCCCCCAGGGCATATGGACGGAAGTCCCAGAGATGGCAGAGAAGCTAGATTCATGAGGGCTCAGGGTGGGGTGGGGTGGGGCAAGGAGGAGGACTGAGGTTCCCATACAGCAGTCCACTGTGCAGGGGCTGGGGTGACTAGGGGACTTGGGGGCAGGCTGGGGTCCCCCTGCAGCATTCAGGGCAGTGTATCCTGGCATGAACATGGGCACTCGGCTCGAACCCTGCTCTCCTCCCACCCAAGGGTGCCCAGCCAGCCCTGTGATCACAGGGAACACACTGGTGAGAAACGTGCCCATCCAAGTCATAATGACTGACAAGGGACCATGACCTGCAGGAGATGTCCCTGCAATCATGCTGCCTCCCCCCACCGGCCCTGACACCCTCAATCACCTAAGCACAGCCCCTTGCACACCAGACCCTCAGCCAGGACCTGGCTGGCCCCCGTCTTTAGTCCTCAGGACCCATGTTGGGTGTGGGCTTCCAGCAGGTGAAGATCTGGGCCACGTACCAGACCATGCTGAACAAGGTACATGAGGTGCCCGAGGGCTGGCTCATCTTTGTGGCTGAGCGGGAGGAGCTGTACGTCCGCGTCCGGAACGGGTTCAGGAAAGTTCTGGTGAGTTCCTGGACAGCAGTGTCCCTGCAGGTAAAAGGGACTCACAGTGCCGTCCCTTCTTCACTCATGGGGTGTACAATCCAGAGGACGCAGGTAGAGGGCTCGCAAAAAAGTGGGAACCCCACACCACAGCCCCCATGCACAGCAAGTCCCGCCGCTGCAGGAGCCTCCCTGTCGAGTTGATTCTGACTCATAGCGACCCTATAGGACAGAGTAGAACTGCCCCATAGAGCTTCCAAGGAGCACCTGGTGGATTTGAACTGCCGACCTTTTGGTTAGCAGCGTTAGCTCTTAACCACTGCACCGGCAGGGTTACTTGTATATATGTATTTTATATATACATCAGAGACTAGGAGCCAGGCACCACGTTGACCTCTGTTCGCATCCTAGTGTGTCTGTAAAGGTAAACATACACACGTGCACACACACCTATGTATAATGAGGATTGACTGTGTGTGTATGTGTCTATATATCTATATAGCACAGTGGTTAAAGTCATCAACTGCTAACCAAAAGGTCAGCGGTTTGAAACCACTGCAGCTCTGCGGGAGAAAGATGTGGCAGTCTGCTTCCTTGGAAACCTTCTAGGGTTGCTACGAGTCAGAATTAACTCGATGGCAGTGGATTTGGTTGTTTGGTTTTGTGTGTGGGTATGTATATGTATACGAAACCCTGGTGGTGTAGTACTTAAGAGCTAAGGCTGCTAGCCAAAAGGTCGGCAGTTCAAATCCACTAGGTGCTCCTTGGAAACTCTATGGGGCAGTTCTACCCTGTCCTATAGGGTCACTATGAGTCGGAATCAACTCGACAGCAATGGGTTTTATATATATATGTGTGGGTATATATATGTGTATATATATGTATGGGTGGTGTGTGTGCGTCTCTATATAGTCAGTCCTCATTATTTGCAGATTCTGTATTTGTGAATTTGCAAAACACTATTTGTATCCGCAGAGTCAGTCCTCAGTGGCAATTTCGCGGTCATTCACAGGCTCGCACAGAACAGTGTAAACTTAAAGTCACACAGCATACACATTCCCAGCCGAGGCCGAACAAGGCTGGTTTGGCATTCACTAATTCAGTGTCAGTGGGGACTTGATAGAGAATGACTGCTGTGAGCGACAAGAATCGACTGTCTCTGCGTGCCTCTCCCTCTCTGTGAACACGAGAATCGACTGTCTCTGCGTGCCTCTCCCTCTGTGCACACGACAATCGACTGTCTCTGCGTGTCTCTCTCCCTCTGTGCACACGACAATCAACTGTCTCTGCGTGTCTCTCTCCCTCTGTGCACACGAGAATCGACTGTCTGCGTGCCTCTCCCTCTGTGCACACGAGAATCGACTGTCTCTGCGTGCCTCTCCCTCTCTCTGTGCACACGACAATCGACTGTCTGTGCGTGCCTCTCCCTCTCTGTGCACACGAGAATCGTCTATATGTGCTTCTCCCTCTCTGTGCACACGAGAATCGACTGTCTCTGCGTGCCTCTCCCTCTGCACACGAGAATCGACTGTCTCTGCGTGCCTCTCCCTCTGTGCACACGAGAATCGACTGTCTCTGCGTGCCTCTCCCTCTGTGCACACGAGAAT